TTAAATTATTTATTTTATTTTTATTTTATTTTAATTTTTTTTTCCTGAAGTGTAGAGTGTTAATATAAAAAGCCAATTTTAACAAAAATTGTATTTAATATTTTACATTCTAAGCCTCTTTATTTATCAGAATAAAAAAATAAAAAGAAGTCTATATAATTGTATTAAAATTAAAAATCAATTGTAACGGTTTCCGACTATCTCAGAATCAAGAAAAATTTTATTTCAAAATTTAAAATGAAATAAAATATTTATTGATATTATTTTGAATTGTGTTAAGCGAATGTCAATTAATGTGAGCATTGGGCTATACGATAAGGAATATTCTATAAAATAATAATAAGTAACATAAATTGTATGATTTTATATTTATACTTAGAGTACGAGAATTTAAAGTGTATACTTGTATTATATAATGAGTTATCATGACAATCGATGGATTGATCATATATTATATAAAATAATTATAATAATTGTATAGCTATCTATCTATCTATCTATTATTGTCATCATTATTTAGAATCCGACTTAAGATCAATAAAAATATGTCTTTGAGATAACTTGTTCTCTTTAAGTACTGTAGATTAATTGATGATTAATATATCATATCATATATAAATATAATATCATTTCTATGGCCCATAATTCATTTGGTTCGTGATACATTTGTAGCCTTAATCAGCGGCAGACATTTGTTATGTACATATGATTTGGCCAGCTTTACATCGAGCCAATTTATCCACACACACACACACACACACATGGGGAGGAACTTCCATCTGTGCCCAAGAGGCAGTTCTCGTGGCGCTCACGTTAACCAAATGTCTCGATGGAAGTTGAAGTCTGCCCGCCAGTGTTATCGTCCAGCCCTCTGCCATCTTCGTCGCGCCCAACTTTAGCTAGCCCAACGCAACCCGCTTCTCACCCAACCGCAGCAACCCGCATCAGGCCGGGCCAAGCCGGAGCGACCCGGGCCGGGAATATGGCTGCGCTTTAGAATTATCGACGCAAACGCAAAAGTCTCAATGGCGCAGTAAATTATGTTTTATTATGCAATAAAGTCAACCATAAAAATGCTGCAATAAATTAAATTAACTACTAAAAATGCTGATTTTATTTTTTTTCGCCCCCGTTCCGTCATCCTCCTGCAAAAATGCCACGGTTTGTCCTGGCCCAAGTAAAGAAAAAAAAAAAAAAAAACAACTTTTAGCATTTTATTCAGGCTCGTTTCGTTTCAGTGTTCCCTCTGTGATTGGGGTTACTTGTCTATTCGCGGCATTTGAGCAAAAATTATTGTTGCTTTTCGCCTAGTATTATTATTGTTTATTGCTCTCGGACAGATGTTCCAGCTGTTACTCGCGGCACGACGATATAAGCAGAGCGTTCGAATCAATCACTCCTACATGTGATGCACGTTATGATGTATTTATTATTAACCTATTATTAATTTTGTAGTTTATCCAACATTTGCTAACGGCAATCGAACGTATTAATTTATTAATCTGATGGCATGAACTGAGTTTAAAGCATTTGAGTTGAAGTTGCGAATAAGTAAAAAAAAGTCTAATTAAAATATTTCAAATTTCTGTAAGTTATAAATTTAACTATGTAAAGTATTCAGGATGAGTTAAAAAATAAAATAAAAATATTCCTTTACAGAGTAGATAAGTTATTCTAAAATGAAATTAATTAATAATTATTAATTATTGGATCTTTTTTTATAAAATTTCTATATATAATGCTTTGGTAGTTTCTTAACAAATATTTTATATTTAAATTTATTTCATTTTGGGTTTTCATACATATTTAAAATAAAGTAATATATTATAAGCTAACAGAATCTAATAATATTTACAGTTAACCCAAGCGTAAATAATGTAAATTTCATCCGTAAATGCTTTCTACAATAATTGGATATGTATTTACATATATATATGTATATATCGTTGGCAGTTAGTTCATAAAAAAAGAGACACAGTGTCTAAACTTCAAAGGATAATACGGTGTAGAGGAGAATATGCTTGGCAAATAAATGGCTTCCAGGCTTTTCGGCTTGCAGTGGAAGCGGATGCACACGGCTGATAAACCGAACAACGGGCCCATATGAAAAAGTAACAACAAAAGCGCAATGTTTTAAATAAATAAATAAATATGACACATAAATACAAAGCGCTGGGCAAAAAAAATAACAAAAACAAAAAAACAATGGCTCGACAGCCACTTTTTCAAAATGTGTGCGAAACAGGGCAACAATAATGAGAGAGAGAGAGTAAGAGAGAGAGAGAGAGAGAGGGAGAGCGAGCTAGAGAGGGGGAAGAAAAACATTGAAAGCCAACCGAGCGAGCGACAGGGCCCGACAGTTAATTCCGCGAAAGAGGAAATTACAATTCATGCCCTTTGGCGGGACTCCATGATTATCGGATCGAATTAGTGTCTGCCCGGACCTGAACCGGAGCTCGAGCCTGGGATCTGGGATCTGGGATCTGGTCGTTCGTCTCTCGTCTCTGGTATCTGGTATCTCGGCCTGCTTTTGTCTCATGTATGTATGCGTATGTGTGTGTGCGTGTGTGTCGGACTATCTGTGAATTGTCCTGGGGGCACATGTGCGCACATTCTTTATTGCCGGCGTTTGCAGCTTGCCCCATTTGAATGAACTTAGCAATTCATTTGTTGCTCTGTTCCGCAGTCTTCCCTCCCGCCCAGCTCCACTCTCCTTTGTTTCAATTCCGTTGTCATTGTGGACCACTCTCTCTCTCTCTCTCTTCCTTCCACTCCGTCTCTCCCACAGAGACTTTGCCCGTTTGGTGTTCCTGCTGTCAGTTTCAGAATTGCACTTTCCTCATAACTTTTGGCTTTCAAATATTTCAAATAGTCTGCATATGATTAATTTATGCATGAAAGCGGAAATCTGAAATTATTTTATTCTGCCAAACTGCTTATTACCACAAAGCATTGCTATCAATGAAATAGAAGGCCGAAGTTGAATTTGTTGAATATGTTTTAACAATGTGAAAACATGGAAATTATAGAGATTATACTAAAACACTGTTGTAATTATTATATATGTATTATT